GTGAAACTTGGCTCGCTGAGCAAGGTAAGTTACATGAAGCAGGTGCTGGCTACACATTCTACGAGGTGGGCAACGCCGCCTCAGCACCACGTGAACATGGGGTCGGATTTGCAATTTCCGATCGCCTGAATGGCCAGCTGGTGCGTGAACCAACGGGCATCAGCGCGCGACTGATGACTGTTCGCCTACGACTCGGAAGAGGTAAGTTTGCCACTTTGATAAGCACGTACGGTCCGACCATGTGTTATCCTGATGACACACGTGATCAGTTCTGCACTCAGCTATCCTCCGTGATACGGTCTGTGCCGAGGAGCGACCGACTGGGTGATTTAAACGCGCGCGTTGGGCGTGATGCATCAGCGTGGACAGATGTTATCGGTGCGCATGGCATTGGTTCAGCGAATGCGAACGGTGACAGGCTGCTCTCACTGTGTGCCACTCACGGCCTGACGATCACGAACACTCGGTTTGCACGGAGTGCGAGTGATATAGCAACCTGGACGCACCCACGGAGTGGTCACGTTCACATGCTCGACTACGTCATCGTACGTCAGCGTGATATGCGTGAAGTGCGCATGACACGTGTACTGCGTGGAGCTGAGTGTGGCACTGATCACAAGTTGGTGCGGACCAAACTGTACAAATATTTGCGTAAATCGATGTATTGCACTCCCGCCGTGAATCGGCGTAAATTTAACATTCTCTCCCTTGGTACTGAGACGAAACGTACTGAGCTGGAGAAGGCGATGGCTGTACGCCTGTGTGGTGATGTGGACTGCATAGCCACAGTGGGTGACCTGTGGCACCACATTCGCGACCAGGTGACAGCTGCTGCCGAGGAGGCCATCGGGCGCGCAAACTGTAAACGGCCTGATTGGTTTGATGACAACAATGTGGAGATTGGTGCGTTGGTGTCAGAGAAGAATGCAGCGTTTGCTGCACATGTGGCAGACCCCAGTGACTTGCGAAAGAGTAGTCAGTTTCGCAAACTTCGACGGCGATAGACCCGAGAGCTCCGTCGCATTAAAAATGCATGGTGGACGGAGAAGGCGAAGCAGATGGAATGCTACGCCGAACGCCGCCAACACAAGGAATTCTTTGACTCCTTGAAGGCGGTGTATGGACCGAGATTGGAGCCGCTGACGACACTAATCGATGGTAGTGCAGGCGCTACCTACACCCAGACTGCAGACATAATGCAGATCTGGCGGAAACACTTTGACTGTCTCTCGAACAACCGTTCAGAGATCGACTGGCCTACATTGAACGGCCTGAAGCAACACGATGTGAAGGCGGATCTGGCGGATACGCCGAGACTGGATGAGACGCAGAGAGCACTTGCTCAGCTGCGAAAAGGTAAATCTCCTGGAGATGAAGGGATCCCACCTGAAGTATTGAAACACGGTGGACCCGCGTTGTTGACTGCGCTGCACCACTTGGTGCAACGCGTGTGGATTGAGGATGAGGTGCCTGCGGAGCTGAAGGATGCGTTTGTGCTACCACTGTAACAGGGCAAAGGTAGCAAGCAATGTGCAACGAATTATCATGGGATCTACTTGCTGAGTTGTGTGGGCAAAGTGATTGCCCGAATCCTACACGATAGCATCGTCAGTCAAGCTGTGGAACCTAGCGTAGAGGAAAAGCAGTGTGGATTCCATTCGGATTGAAGCGCTATAGATATGGTGTTTGCTGTACGTCAGTTGCAAGAGAAGTGCAAAGAACGACACCAGCCATTGTACTCGCTTTTAGTTGATTTCACCAAGACATTTGATACGGTGAACCGCGAGACATTGTGGCTGGTGTTGGGTAAGTTTGGTTGCTCGCGTAAGTTTGTAAGTTTAGTTGAATATCTGCACAATGGTCTGCGAGCGAGGGTGCAGCTGAGTGGAGAGACCTCGGATGACTTTGCAGTTGTCTCTAATGTGATGCAAGGCTGTGTCTTAGTTCCTGCCCTGTTTAATATCTATCTTCATGCAATAAGGTCTTGTGCTTTTGATGCGGCTTTTGCTTACGGTGTTCGTGTGGAGCACCGTATTGATGGTGGGTTGCTGAACATCCGTCGTTGCGGTGTGAGAACTCTAGACTTTGTGACAACTATCCGTATGTGGCTGTTTGCTGATGACTGTGCGTTGTTTGCACACAGCTCGGATGAGTTTCAGCACACGATTAGTGCTCTGGCTTCGACAGTGTCCAACTTCGGGCTCACCATCAACACAAGCAAAACAGTCTGTCGCTTTCAGCTTTCGCCGGAAGTGCAATCTTCAATATTGCTGCGAATCAGCATTGATGCTGAATTATTGGAAGCCACCTCCCGCTTCTGCTACCTTGGGAGTGTGATGTCGACTGACCAGCAGATACCCAGTGAGTTGCGTATTCGCGTGTCGAAGGCAGCGAAGGCATTCCGGAAGCTAGGATAACGAGTGGGAACAACCATCAGCTTATAATTGGTACGAAGCTGATGGTGTACAAATCCATGGTGTTGTGCGTTCTTCCATCCGGCAGTGAAACGTGGACGATATACTGGCGGGATGTGCGATTTCTCGAGTCGTTCCATTACCGCTGTTTGCGACGGATTATGCGCATCCGATGGGGTGACAGAGTGGCGGACACGGAAGTGTTGGGCCGAAGTGGAATGTATACAGTGGACTTCATACTATTTTGTGACACCTGAGATGGCTCGGTCATGTGAGCCGTATGGATTCGACGCGGATACCGAAACAACTATTATACGTTCAGCTGAGTATTGGGAGGCGAGATGTGGGGAAACCAAATTTACGTCACCAGGACATGAACAGAGTGAGCCCTTCACGTTCTAACCTTGATTGCAGATCATGGGAATCGAAGGCGGTTGATCGTGATGCAAGGCGCGATCTAATCACGAAGGCAGTTGCCGAAATGCGGGAGAAAGACCTCATACATGCAGAGAAGAAGCGGCAAGTGCGGAAGCGGCAAGCACCGATGAATTGTACTCCATCGATATCGAGTGCATGGTGCTCACTCATGGTGCACATGCGGTCGCGAGTGCCTTAGTCAGGCAGGCTTAGTGAGCCACGAGCGATATCACTCGATTCCACTACCGAAGCGACGACGGGTCCTGCAGAGAACGTAGGCAGAACCGACGCAGCGTTTGTAGCTACGCTGCATTCGATTTACTAGTCGCGTTGTTGCCTGCCAAGTCTACGTATTTCCTGTGGTGGGTTTTCAAATTTATTCCAATTCTTTTTCCATATTTTTGTCTACCTGTACTATGTTCTATAAACTTGCACGCGTTGTTGAAGCTGATTGTAGTTAAGTGCGGTAAAATTTTGCGTTTGTGGCATTTCCTTAAAATATTTTTTCTGACCTCTTGAACTTATCTCGGATTGGTTCCTAATCAATTTGTTTTTACGCCCAATAAATGATGAGCTGCGTTCCCGTTTCTATATGCATTATCCGACTTAGTTTGTTTGATATTGTCGTTTGAAGTGATTGGCTGTTGCTTGATATCCCCGGTGTGGCTGCGCTTGATGTGCATGTTGACAAGGTGCCTACCTGTCTATTACCCACTACCTCGTCCAGACTGGCTCCAGGAGACAGTTGGTCGTTGCTGGAGGGGACGGGGTGCACGGTCCTTGTGGCCGTGCTAGGCTCGAAGAATGGTTCCATGCACTCAGTGTGGAGCGGACTACGCTCTAGCCACCGCCATGTGTACGCTTGGTTCCCCAAATAGAATGTGTTTGTGTTTGCCTGTGAAGGAGTGTGGGCCGGCTCCGTTGATGAAACGTGGTTCCCATCCACATGCCTCCCGGTTTTATTTCTTCGGTTTTACACTGAATATGGAGTGTGTGGATGGAACTGTGGGTGATGCGGCGCAAGCCACCCATGGTCCCTCTGTAGGCGCATGCGTTCTGTGGCTTGCCACAGTGACAGGCAAATCCGAAACCGGATGCCGCCAACCATATATATATATATATATATATATATATATATATATATACATATATATATATATATATCAAACAGCCAAGAATACAATTGGCAGAGTACCAAAACTTATGGAATAATATAATAGACCATAATCGTGAACTAGACGGAAAATTTTTAATACTTGTATCATGGGGCAGAGTCTCACGACGTATTGTTCCTTGGTCATGGTTTCTTGACATACTGGATAGGGTTTCCAACCACGTATGTTCATGATCCTTGCGCCGCTAACCGGGGAGTCGAGAGCGCCCTACCGCTGTCAGAGCTGTGGTCAACGCCTTTATACTTTTGGCCCAAATCATTCGCTGGCCACCTTGCCTTTGCTTCCAGCCGACTTCTGTGTGCGCACAGTGCACGTTGAGGCAAACACTCAGTAGGTATGCGAAGCACGTGGTGCACAGAAGGTTGCCCAACTAACCAGTCGCTTATGTTTCTGAACAACTTGGTTGGAACAGCAGCTAGAACGCATTGACCGAATCCGTAGAATGGTATGTCATCATACATTGTAGCTGCTTGGTTAGGCATAATAGTAAAATTCTCTATAGCTCGTCTGTGATAATGAAGCCCTAAGTAATGTTATGAATATAAGAAGGGAACTGCAAGCATTTTTGTAAATGTCAAAACAAAAAAATAATAAAGAGTGGACGCCGGATTTGCCTTCCATCACTCACACAGCAGACTAGGCACCCCTGTTAGACGAAAACGGTCAACTGGTTATTCTGACCTCAGTATCACCGAACCTACCCTCTAATCATTTCAAGGAGACAGTCGGTACTATCTGCTGGCTATCGGGGATCTGGAATGCATTTATTCCGTTGCTATACAAACGAACGCCTGTATCAGACAGGCACAACACGACTACTGTGGCAACTTCGTTCGGAGCTTATGGTCTTCTTCTGCCAAGACGCAATTACAGCACAGAAAGAGCGTTACACTAGGAACTTTAATACCACTCCATTTGGGAATATGAAGCCGACGAATTGGTGAACGATGAACCTGCGAATCCAATGCACAACCAGTGGTCCAAAAACACTCACCACTAATGCAGTAGGGAAATGTGTACAAAGACCAAACAGTCTGAGAGCTCCAAGTCATTATCAGACATGCCACAATGGTCAGAAATGATACGGTTCTGCGTGCATTTCTGAGCGCACGATAGAGTGACATTGCCCTTGAGTAGTTATGTGGAATCTGCAAACGAAAATTAGCAGCGGGTTAGTAAACAAATAGTGTCAGGTTTCGATAACAAGCATGTTCATTAAAACAAAGAGGGCTTTTGATGGCTACATCCTAGTTCGTAGTGCTGAGCTCACCGCTGTTTAGTAAACACAGTCTTCAGTGCCTTCGGGCAAACGTTGGTTGGCTCCTGAGAGCTATGGTGGCGCTGTGCGAGCCATTTCTTTAGCACAGGTACTAATTTGAAAATTACGCGTCTAAACTCTGGAGTCGGTAAAGGGTATGACAGCATGTGACAGGTAGAGATGGTGATTTCTAAACCCAATGCGTATTGCAGCCGCAGAGTATTGACTGCTTCTTCGGCGCTTTGTACTCTACCGTCTGTTGTGAAAATTGGAGGGATGCCATGCTTCACTTTACGAAGACTGCTGACCTATCTGTACGGTAGTTTGCTGTTTGCCAAAACTGTTTGGCTAGACATTGTTGATAAATTGCTTTTTCCTCACGGACAAGTGTGGTGCAACGTTTGCGATGGTTAAGGAACTTGCACAATGTCCCTGAGTCTGGGCTGGCTTTATAGGCACGCCATGCTCTTTCACATAATGCCATGCATCTCCGAGTTCTGCTTCTGAGAATTGATGTCACTTTTGCAGAACATAGTGGCTGGATTTCTGGTGCTCTGTTGGGCATCTCACTGAGACTTCGAACAAACTCTGTCCAAACGTCGTCAAGTGGACTGTAGGTAGAGCGCTCCAAAGTCGATGTCTGGAGGAATTCTCTCGGGACGTGGTAGCGTGTGATTGTATGAGTTTATTTCCAATGTTCTGATAGATACTCTGCATAACTTGCATAATGAAATGTTATTACCACATCGTCGCTGAAACCTAATGAACTCTCTAGCATTAATTTGTTGACCATAAACTTTTCAATGCGAGTTCAAACTTCAATATGGGTGTTTCGTTTTATATCTTGAATCTAGTGGACAAGATGACATGACTGTATAATGGAATACTAGCTAGAAGTTTATATAAGTCTGCTATGGATTGTGGATACAACCAATTTGTGTAGGTTTAAGTCAATGGCGATAAGAATATGGCTGTACATAGGGGGTATAATCCAGTTCAAGGTACGTATCAAATGAGAGACCATTTCTGAAGTGAACGTCGGGGACGGTAAACGACAGCTATGAGAGGTGCTTCGTTGTGTTTTAGTTGGCGACCGCACCAGAGTGAAACAGCAACATGAGTTTTCAGATCATCAACTATTGCACATTGCAGGTCACTGCGGTAGAAGAGAAGAATCCCAACTCCTCTTCTCGCACGGGTTTAAAGCTATTGTTCGATCTTAGAGATAGCTTATATTTGCGGGTCCAATCAGTATACCGGGTTTTTTATTTATTCTGCATTATATATTACGCAATTAGGTAGCACTGTTTTTAAATGTTTAACCCGATTTTCCGTTGCTGCTAGGATTCCAGTCCAGTTAAACGATTGGGGCACACCCTATATATCACGCTTAAGTCAAATTGGTATATGTCCCCAATATCCCTGTGCTCTAGTATGTTTGCACACCTACATTAATGTGTACGTTACATATATTCGCGTTCTAAATTTCTTAACATGCTGCTGGGTTTCTTCTTTACTGTTGCCTGGTCCTAAAGTGCCTTGGATTGATCCTCACTTCTAGGCGCTATCCAGATGCAAGCAAATTAGACATAGTGTTTATGCTGCCTGATTGTTCTTCTTTCCATTCCAAGACACTGAAGGAAAAGCTTTGTTACCCGATAAAAATTAAAGGACAAATTGGAGACGTCGAGGAAATCTGGATTCCACAGCTATTGAACCTGAAACTATAACTATTTGAGGAGCTCGCAGGACCTGTAGAACCCCTAGGTTTCTTACACTGCTATTATAAAATTATACCCGGACCAGTCGGGTAAACTTTAAGTTCCTATTGTTGTGTGAGTTGTATACGATACCGATACTGACAGCGAAGTCTTGTGTTTTTATATTTTGAGCAAGAATGCAGAACACCTGGCCACGCCACCAAACACCATGCAGCGCAGTTATGTAGCTCAGTGCTTGAAAGTCAGTTTTATTTGCAAATCTGTCATCACTTCTAAGGTGCTTTTGAAATTTTACATCAGCAATTCTTCGTGTGTACAGCTTATCGAAAAACAATCTCACTTGAATATCTTGCGAAACCGGCGAAACCTCTGACACAAATCAGGATCACTCACATTGCAAACTTGTAGATTCGAATAATCAGTAAGAAGCTGTCGCTTCTGCGCCAGAGGTGGCGGGAAGTAGCTGAAGCAATCTGAGTCTTAAAGACACGTAACGAAACCTCGTCTGTTAAACGGTTGGCACTAAAGTTGTTTTCAAAGCAAACAAATGCGTTGACCACTTCCAAGGGCTAAGCAGTGGTGTCTAGCACCCAACAAATACCGGCAACCTCTTACATAACATTAAACAAACCAACGCTGTAGGTGCTTGACGAAGTCGTTAGTATCAGAGGGACAGACTTCATTTATCAGCACTTCTTTGACCGATTGGAACACCACATTATGCTTCACAGGCTCAAATGCTATGGAATTGGTGATCCGGTCCATGGATGGATCAGGAATTTCCTTCAGGATCTGCAACTGCAGATCAGATTTCGAAGTGCACTGTCCGATCCGATATATGTCGAATGTGGAGTTCCACAAGGATCAGTTCTGGGGTCGCGTCTGTTTCACGTATTCCTTAACGAGCTTACGCGTTTGATTACTTCAGATTTCTTGCTGTTCGCTGAGGATGTCAAAATTTGGCGGACGATCGCTGACCCAGCACAGCACGATGCACTTCAGCGAGATCTGGACAGAGCGTATGGGTAGTCACTCCACAATCCGCTCCAATTCAATTCGGGGGAGTTTAAGTTGGTTCACAAGCGACACCAGCCGAACCTCACATACAAGCTTGGAGATCATGTCCTGCAAAAAGTCACCCAGCATCGCGACATTTGGGTACTAGTTCAGGATGACCTGGGCTGCTCAGAAAAACCTGAGAAGGTCTCAAAGACCTGGAACCAATACGTTGGTATGCTGCGGAGGACATTTTGGCGGTTTGATCCCTTTGCCTGTTCGCAGCTGCCTAACCCCTACGCGCGGCCTCATGGGAAATACGCAACCCAGGTGTGGCAGCCCTGACACAAACAAGACCTTGCAGCGCTCGAGACTGCACGGCGACGAGCCACGAAGCACGTCAAAGGGCTGTTCAATCTTCCTTATCAACTTAGACTGAGGACACTAAAATTATACACTGGCCGGTACCGGCGCCTACGTGGCAACCTTATTACGGCCTATCGGATGCTAAGGAACTCCAACCACGTCTGCCGTCACCTATTACCGCTGAGCCACAACACGAAGTTAAGGGGCCACCAGTTCAAGTTAGCCACGCAATACAGTCGGCTAGAACGTCGACGGAACTTTTACTCTCTTTTTATGTGTCAGCCTTGGTACACCCTCCCAAGTTACGTTCTTTCCAACTCCCACTTCATCCGTGTTTAAAAAGCGACCATGTTGCCCTAACCCACCTACACTATGAGATATAGCCTGAGTGTCTCGACAGATGATATAATACAACGAAGGTTGTACAACCAGAATTAACCTACACAACTGTGGTTGGCTCTTTCTGCGTGCCTCTGTGCTAACACTGTGGTGAGTCCACCAAAACGATTTTTATTATATCCACTTGTTGGCTATTCACTATGTTGTGCTAACACAGATTTGGCCATCCTAAGGGACTTGGCAAGCATGCGTTTATTTGGCCGTAATATACCACTTTCCTTTATACCAGTCACCTATGGAAGGTAGGTAGATGCTGACTGCATACTACAGATTAGGTGGTAGTACGGTATGACTCGCAGTCCGGTGGATGTTTGCTGTTCGGCTTATTAAGTTAGCAGGGTAGGGAAGAGCAACACCCAGATATATCCATAGCTGATTTTCTCTTTTGTTGTGTGGTTGATTGGTAGACTAGTTGATTACTTGATTAATGGTATGTGTAGCTGATCATTTGACTAACTTGCTCATTGGTTTAGGCGGCGGACTTGTAATTTACTGGTCAACAGTTCGAGCTAAATTGGAGGGGTGTGACCGTGCCAAAGTGCGGCTGCTTGTCGTCGTATCGCTTCAACCAGCTTTAGGGATGGCTGGAGGGTGGGGTGACTGCTTATTTGAACGATCGGATGGTAGATTAGTTAGCTATTTATTCGTCGGTTAGTTTTTATGTGACTGATCAGTTAGTCGTGTGGATTTTTCCAGAACCAATCTTGCGCCACAAAAGTACTGTTTACTTGCTCTATTGAGTCGAAACCGTCCTCAGCGAGATGCGATCTGATGAGGTTAATCTGTATTCTTCAAAATCATTCGAGGCCTGAATCACCGCGTTCCCCTCCACAGGCTTCAATGCTGCAGAAGCAGTGCTCAGATACTGGGTACTTTTCTCTTTCAACGACATTTGCTTATGCCAACTATCAGTGCCCTATCCGACCTAACTGAAGTCTGGTGAGGAATGCCCTAAGGACCATGTCCACATTTTATTTACCTAAAGGATCCCGTGAGAATGATCATCTCGATTTCCCTCCTCTTCGCTGAGCATCACAGGACATGACGGGTTATGAGGACAAGAGGCGGCCATGTAGCACTGAAAGAGTATCACAACAGGGTATATGTGTGGAACGCTCGGAACGTGGTTCTTTTCAGCCCGCCCCAGTGTAAGACTTCCTGCACAAGTAGTCACTGCACACGCGGGTGTAGACTGTCGGATACACATGAGTGGAATGCTCCTGTTAAATGCAACCGCAGAGTGGTGACACGAGATGATCCCAGCAGCACAAAAGCAACCACCATACTGATCTATTGCGGAAGACATTCGGGTGATTTGCTCGTTCCATCGTCCCTCAGATGCTTAACACCTATTTTATGCTCCATGCAGCTTACGTCAACCACGCGCGGCAATGCTGGCAGAAACACG